ATATTAGTTTTTCCCAAGAGTAACTGTACGCTTTCAGCAATTGCTTTAAGTCCCTACTCAGTATAGTATAGACATTCATTTACATTTATGTAGATACCGAATAAGTATCTCAAAATTCAGACAAAAAGATTGATAATCTAGTCAAGATTAATGTATATATGTATAGACACACAAATAGTGTAGTTTTCAAGTTTCAACCTATTTTTCAGAGATAAGTTCTGGGGTTATGTTTTGTGTACAGTATTAAAACGTTTAATTTCAATTTTTTTTATGGTAACAAGCCATCAAATTCTGACAGAGGTAGCAAATAGATTCCTGATCACCTGAGTCGCTTTGTTTTTGTTTTCCCTGTTTGATCTTTTTGCAGCACATACAATAGATCTTTGTTTTTCTAGCTAATAAGGTAATTTCCCTATTTATTTGGGTTTTGGGGGATACTTATTTCTTCCTCCCATATAGCCATCCCTAACCGGGGGAGGTAGGACACTCTGACATCTCCATTCATGATAGAAAGATTTGCTGAATTGATATTTCGATACAGGTATGTTCGTTCCTTGGGGAAGATTGAGTTAGCCGGAGAGTCTTCTACACTAACAGGTTTGACAACACCCGCAGGGACGTAGCAATGTTGGCTATGACTGGTGAAAATGGCGATCTCATTGGCAGTCCCTCATCTTGTGTAAAGAATTCGTCTTTCAGTTGGAAATAACAGTTTCGTACAGAGCATCCAAGTAATTCCATAATTACTTCTATAAGTAGATTCGTTCTCTCTTCCAGGTTCCCGTCTTCGGATAGCTTTCTCTGTATGATTTGGAGTGCTTCTTCGACCGGAACGTTGGTGTGAAGGCTTTCTACGTCGAAACTAATTAGTTGATCTTCCTGTGTGACCTCAATTAACCCTAGTAGTTCAAGAAAATGCCTGGAATTATTCACAAAAAAATATGTTCTTCCTTGTAATGATTGTATTAAGGAAAGTTTGGAAAATCAGTGAACAGCTGGATCGAGAACCACTTCCAACATCTAACATCAGCAATGAAGAACGTAGAGCTCTGAACGGCCTACGTAGAGACAACACCATCAAGATCCTACCTGCAGATGAAGGAAACGCTCCTGTGGTAATGGATACCGTTCTCTACGAACAGAAGATCGAAGATGTTCTTCAGAAGGGACGATACACAAAAATCGTACGGAACCCTACTGCATCAATCGAAAGGAAGTTGTACCAGATTTTGAAAAAACACCAAGTATGGACTACCAAAATCCACAAGAAAGACGTTCCGCTTAGACCGATCATCAGCTCCGGAGATTCGGCTACTCAAAACTTGTCTAGATTTTTACTTCCCTCAATTGAGGTCACACAGAAAGATCAAATAATTAGTTTCGACGTCGAAAGCCTTTGCACTAACGTTCCGGTCATATAGAGAAAGCTATCCGAAGACGGGAACGTGGAAGAGAGAACGAATCTTCCTATAGAAGTAATTATGGAATTACTTCTATAGTGTACGAAACTGGTATTTCCAACTGAAGGACGAATTCTTCACACAAGATGAGAGACTGCCAATGGGATCGCCACTTTCACCAGTCATAGCCAACATATATATGGAGTGGTTTGAAACTCTGGCCATTGAAGAAGCCCACAAGAAACCTCGAGTCTGGTGGAGATATGTTGACGACACCTTCATAATATGGAACCATGGGATTACTGGACTAGACGCCTTCCTGAAACACATCAACAGCGTGAGACCTTCCATCATTTTCACAATGGAGAAGGAAATCTACAACGAATTGCCATTCTCAGATGTTTTGGTGAAGAGGACCGACACTAAGTGGGAAACATCTGTATAACGAAAACCCACTCACACGGGACAGTATCTGAACCACGAATCCAACCACCATCAATCGACTAAAAGAGGAATTATCAAGACTCCATTAGACCGTGCTTTTGGGCTCTATAATACGAAGGAAGACCTCGATAAGGAACTGGACATCATAAAAAATGATCTTCAACGGAATGGCTACTCCAAAGCGATGGTAGAAAAGACTTTGACTTGAAGACAGCAGGAGCCTCGGAAGGAAGAGAAGCCGTCACAACCAGTGCACTTCCCTACATTAGAGAATTATTGGAGAGGATAAGAAGAATTGGTTCCAAGTTCAACATCAGAACCTGCTTCAGATCCGGTAACACTTTAACGCCTTTTGATACAAAACGTTACTTATTATTGAAGTTAAAAGCACAAAATTTATTCTCAGCATTGGAGGCGACATAATCTATGCTGTGAAGTTGAATTCTTGGCAACGGATATCTCGTTTGAGGCACTTTTCGATCGAGCACTCTCTTAACTATCTAAATTATCCAACCGATTCAAAACAGTCTTTTTTTTTCATCGAAAACTTGAATGTCTTTCTCTAATTCCTGAACAAGTTTACAAAACTCCTCAACTTTCAATCTGTATTCTTCAGATTTCATTTTATCATTGAATATTTCAACTGTTTAACGACATTAACATTCTTTCGAGAAAAATAATAATACCCTCCCACGTGTTCTCTTTGCCCTCACTCTCCCATTTTCCACCTAACACGAAAACGAAAAAGAGCCAGTGACGTATTGTCAAATATCATTGCTGAATACTCTGGATATCCCCATTGCCCTATTTTCAAACATTTCTCATTGGGATTGCACGTTAAAACGTTAGGTTCCCGTTAAACTGGCATAATTTTTCTCAAAAGACGTATTTTAAGACACCCTGTACACATTGGAGAATCGCACATTAAAACGATAGAGCTCAGTTGAACTGTCATGTTTTTTGAATGATGTATTTTGAAGTACCCTGTACACATTGACGTCATGTTTTTTTCTTAAATGATGAGACACCATGCAAGCCCCGACAGTAGCCATGTTTTTTTTTATTACGTTGGCAACCATGTTTTTTCTTTAACGCTGGTAGTCATGTTTTTTTCTTTAATCCGATTTTTCATTCATTATTACTATTATATCATTGTTTTTGTAACTCAGCCACGCCGATGTATTTTGAGACACCCTGTACATATTGATCACATTTTTTTAATGTCTAAGACGACTGAAAATAGTTACAAAGCTGACAATAAACAGTGGACTCAGGCAACATTTTTCTAGTCTCAAATATGCAGTGGAGGCGGTTATACTGCTTATAATATTTATTCGAAGACCGTTCAGATAGCCAGCCCCAATACGGCTATTAATTTCGATGATCATAGAACGTGTCTCTCAGAACCTGTCACTTTCATAAAGTGGAAATAATCAATTCCAGCGGGTAATTAATTATCTAAAACAAAACCTAACTATTTCATCAACTCATAGAATTAGATCATGAGGTTGTAACTTTCAATATGAATATACTGTTGCATCATCAATACCAGTAAAAAGATGTGATTTTTCGATTCGAAAATAGTATATTGTGTAACAAGTGCGTGAAATCGCACTCAGGCGAGTGTCGCAAACAACGCGAGTGTAAAAAAGTCTTCACGCACATGTTGCACACTATACTTTTTCTACGACCATACAGAGAAAATTAAGCACCATTAGTTTAAAGAGCTTTATTGAATTTCAGAATAATTAGTAAGTACCTATATTATAAAATTAACAATTAATTCTTATACTGAGATTATTATTTTTGGTTTTCATTCTGATGTGGAATAATAATGATTATTAATAGTAATATTGGAACNTTATGGACAGACTACAATGTATTTCTTATGAGTATATTTCACGCACTGGTAATAAAAACACTTGAATGTACCATGTTATTATTATGGGTTTATTTCACGCCCTAGGGCGTAAAAATAATTTCACGCACAAGGGCGTGAAATTACATTTTACGATTCGTGAACGGTGTGTGACAGTACTATTTCACGTACGGGAGTAGAAAAAATATATTGATGTCAACAAATTGGCGGAAATTAAATGTGAATGTGATTAACGATCAGTTGTTTATATCTCTGATTGTTTCTATTTCTTTTTCTTTACTGGGAATGTTTGTCATAAATGTCATGTGATATCATAAAAATCAGACATGGTTTAATTTCATCAGTTTCTGAAGATATTGATAATACAAGATAATATGAAAATATAAAACAAACATGCACATTGTGAAATGTCACTCACCCAGCATCTTGACTACGTGTTTTGTTGATTGTGCAGTCTTTGAAAAAATTTTCCTTCCTTCGACTTCATGTTGTATCAGGATGCTCGGAAACACGTTTTCTGCACCGTTCACCATCGATACCTGAGTCGCAGAATTAACGTAAGTAACAACAGGTTTGTAAACGCGTTGTCTCATCTTAACACTGTTACCTCTAGATGGTTCCACAGTGGAACGATGCAATTGCAATCCGATCAAAATGTAGAAAACGGTTATCATCGATATAGGAGCAACAAAAAAAACGAATGTAGATATTTCAAACGCGTGTGGTATCACAGATCTCTTGATGTTGCAAATGCAATGATCATCAACTACCCGTCCGTTCGGCAATTCCTCGCAAACTATTCCAAATGCCATAGCTTGAGGAATTGCCAGAGACATCGCGATTATCCATATCAGAATTATGTACTTTATTGCTCGATTGAGTTTTGAGAGCGTATGCGATAGAAACGGGTGACAGATGGCTACGTAACGCTCTATTGTGAACGCTGTGATGGTTAAAACAGTAGCGTTGGCTGATGTTTCTGCTGCAAATCCCTGCAACAAATATTCAGTGTTTATACAGGACAAATTATGATTGAAATAAAAAAGTATAGATATATGAAAGAGAAAGGAAAAACCCTGCATTAAAAATGTAATATTTGCAGGAGACATTAGTTTCTAGGTATAGGACTTTTTGGTTCACTACTTCTTCATTTTCATATAGAATAGATATTTTTTGTTTTTCAAAGCTTTCGGTCATACACTTTTCCGTTCAAGTCAAATTTCAACCCTTTTCCATCATTTGGTAGCGCGTTTCTGTGAAAGATATAGTCTGTCCATTCCCAATTAGAAAGGTAATAAAAATAAGAGTACAGTCATAAACATTTTTTGCCTGTGGCCCCTAGTCGTTCAGATAGTTAGTAAACGTGCTATCAAATGTAGTTGAGGAATAAAGGCTCGGCTAGCTGGACTGGCTGAATACTAATTTTTTGTCCGTTTCACAATATTTCTTTATCAGTGCCGTGTGTTCGTGGGGTTAGGTGAGGTAGTGAGTGGTTTTGCAAACTGATTTTTGAAAACTTCTTCTAGAGATCAATTACCCTAACACCAAACTGATATTTTTGCACTCGACGCGCGTTTCGCTAGCAAGGTTAGTATTTTCAGGAGAAGCAAATTGATACTGAATCTAAAGACAAGGGTTAGCTGTTTATATACCTAAAGTTTTTTGGTCCAATGTGGACTTTGTTTGTTAAATGATGATTATCCTAATTGATTTTTCGATAATCAACTAGTGAAACCACTTCCTGCAAATTAATTTGTCAACAATAGATCAAAAAGCGGACAAATTAATTTGCAGGTAGTGGTTCCACTAGTAATTTACCGAAAAATCAATTAGGATAATCATAATTTAACAAACAAAGTCCACATCGGACCCAAAAACTTTAGGTATATAAAAAACTAACCCTTGTTTTTAGATTCAGTATCAATTTGCTTCTCCTGAAGATGCTAACCTTGTTAACGAAACGCGCGTCAAGCAAAATTATCAGTTTGGTGTTAGGGTAATTGATCTCTAGAAAAAGTTTTCAATTCAACTTTCACACCAAAGGTTCCAATCTCATCGTTTAAACCGATTTTTGTGAAAATCTTAGTGTTTTTGGGTACTTTCATCAGAATGGCTTTCTGGAGACCTTTTGAAACAAATGATAACATTACGTGTGAGGAATCTGTGTCAATCGACAGGGATCCGAAATTTGAAAATAAGGACTTACATGTTCAAGTTCGGCGAGTAATTTTAATTCATTCATGAATGCTTGAAGAAGGAAAACTGTCACACTTCACAGAATGCTATTGTGAATAGAATATGCAAGTTAACGAAACTATCTTGTTCGACAGTTCTTCGAGCCATTAAAATAGGGGATGACATTGACCATGCAATGAAACGAAAACAAAGAAATAAAAAATTCGCAAACGTTGATGGTGCTACAAAAGATGTGATTCGGTGAACAATTTATGGTATATACCAAAAAAATTAAGTACCAACCTTGGAAATGATTTGGTATAAATTACTCGACTATCCCGATTACAATTACAAATCTTTGGACACTCTACGAGGTGTCTTATTTTTTTGTAGTTTCAACTATAGAAAATTGAACAATCGGATGGTCATAATGAAATCGACACGCATTGTTCAACTCCGACAAAAATATTTGAGGCGAATGAAAAGCTATCGAGAATCCAGCAGACATATAATCTACCTCGAGGAAACTTGGTTTGACACCCATGATGGGTGGGTAGACGAAACCAAGTATTGTGCTTTGAACACACCTTCTTCAAGGGGAAAACATGTTATGATTTTGCATGCCGGGAATGAAAGTTGTTTTGTACCTAACGCTTTGCATCTGTCGGACAAAAAAGATTCGTCTACTGATTACTACGAAAATATGACTGTGGCTTTATTCGAAACCTGGTTCAGTGAGCAGATTCCCCCAAATATTCCTTCAAACTCGGTTATTGTTATGGATAACGCTTCGTATCATTCTCGGTTATTGACAACAATACCAAATAATAACACAAAAAAGCAGATATTTTTTATTTCATGCGAAATCATGACATGGAAATACCCGAAAAGATTCCAACGAAAAAGGTATTATTGGCGACCATAAAACAACCTAATTTCAAAAAAGAGTATATTATTGATGCGATGTGTGAAACACGTGGTCATATTCTCTTACGTTTGCCTCCATACTATTGTGTGTTCAATCGAATTGAAATGGTTTGGGCCACAATGAAAGAAAGTTTGCGGAAATATAATCAGTCACCGACTTTGAATGCTGTAGGGCTTGACAATATAAGGCGAGTGGTGAATGAAGTAGGTAATAGTGATGTGTGGAAGAACTGTGTGGCCCACTTTATAAAAGAAGAGAACAAATATCATGTGCAAAGTTCCATAAATCCGATCATTATTCAACCCGATGATGATTCCACGAATATAGCGAAGAAGAATTTTGATTTTTCTAGCAATTTTGTTGGCCTCTGTCATTTTGTAAATATATGTTTGACGAGAATTCGGTGTGTGATTATTTGTGTTTTAATTGTATTTTAGAGTTTTCGACTCAGAAATCAACTACCTTGAATTTCGAAATTTTTCGTAATTACCCATGGTGGAAAAATTCAGTTGAGATAATTTTTTCATGGGGTGATCAATTGCTATGATTGTACGCATAAGTAACTGAAAAACTACCACTGAAAAATAATATGCCGACGCCTTTGTCGAGGCGGGAATTCCTTATCTGTGCTGTTTCAATTGGTATTGAAAATACTATAATGATGATGATAAAAAAACAATGATGAGAATTCCTAACATTCCTAAGAACTACAATCCGAAAACATGCATCTGTGTTATAAGTTGTTTACGAATATCTTATATACACGAATACTCACCGCAGTTGACCAAGGATTCAAACAGATATATGAGTAGTAAGATTTCAGTAGACCATGCTTTCGGACTCTGTTATCCGAAGGTAGGTTTCGAGAAAGAACTAGGCATCATCAAAAATGATCTTCAACGGAATGGTTACTCCAAAGTGATTGGCTAAAAGATAGAAAGAGCCTTGCAAAGAGGAGAAGCCGTCCCAACCAGTTCCTGCATTTCCCTGTATCAGAGGTTGTAGAAAAAATAAAAAGAATTGGAGACAAGTACATCATCAGAATCTGCTTCCGATCCGGAAATACTATCCGTAGCAGCCTCACAAAAACCAGGCCACCACACGCGGACTGCGATTCCAAGAAATGTATTTAGTGGATACCCTGCGAGTGCGGAAAATCCTATATCGGTGAAAGTAAGAGGCAATTGAAAGTCCGCATTGTCGAGCACAAGAAACACACACAGCGAAGAGAAATCGGCGAATCAGGAATGGCAGAGTATGTTTGGAATTATCAACATAACATTAAGTGATCTCAAGCTGGGATCATCAACAGGGAGGAACACTGGTTCAGGAGGAAATTTGAAGGAGACGCATATATGCTGTCCAACAAAGCAGCCAATCTAGCGAAGAAATACGCAACAAGTGAAAATCCATAGTAAAGTATGAAACGGCCAACTCGCGCCAAACGGTCCGCTCCCGTTGAACCGGTGAAGCGGAGAGAGGGAATAGGGGATAGGGGACCCATAAATAATTATTTCTCGGAAAAATGAGTCCAATCATCACCCGAAGATAATTGTGGATACTATCAATCGAAACGTCATGGAGTAACTTAGCTTGAAATCTTTTACTTTTTATTTCTTTTTTATTGTTCAATTTTCAATTGTTGCTTTATTTTATTCTATTGCAACTTAATATCAGGGTTTAGCTTAATATAATTTTCATTTTCAGCTATTTTAATTTTATTAATTCTTCCAGGGATTTCAAATCATTTTATATCATATCAGACTATGGAAGTCCGAACTAATGAAATTCACCATAAAACATTGTCAACCACCTTTGAACAAAAAATAGTGAGAAATATTAACTAAAGTCACAACCCATCCAATAGCTATCACCAGACTTCGCCTGGGCTATACAAGGCTCACTCATGAATATCTAATAACTGGCAAACAGAAACCGTCCTGCGATATATTGGAAACAGACCTTTCAGTAAAACATAGCTGAAAATTTGTTTTTTCAGGAGGACTTTCTTCCAGTTTGTGTCTGAAAGTTACTTCTTTGCATGATCTACACATCCATGTATAGAGTTACTTAATTTAGAATTGATTACTTCCTTCCTTTCCTTGGAAGATTCCCTCATCCTTGTTTTTTGTATCAAGATGGAGGAGTAGAAAGCCAAAAACTTTCTTTCCCAAAAATTGTAAATAACTTTTGTAAAATACCGTGTCAAACCGTTGCGCTCAGAAATGCTCGAGGATATATCTATACTATCCGGATGCATAACATCACCCATCTGTGTTATATGGATGACCTTGAACTTTATGCCTTTATAAAAAAGGGTTGAAGAGTACACGCATGCTATCGCTATGTAGAAAATGAGTGGTTGAAGAGTTTACGCATGCTATCGCTATGTAGAATGGTTGAAGAGTACACGCATGCTATCGCTATGAAACTCGTCACAGGCAGCTCTTAGCTTACCTCGGGGAAAGTATACTGATGTGTGCGAAATCCTTAATAGTTTGCATCACACATCGCTAATTTCACGGTGGAATTTTCGCTGACAACAGGAAGGTCGTGGACTCTTGAGTTTGTAGTGTCTACATGACAGAGTGCTACTGGATGGAGCTTATAAAGTTGTCAGGAGTTCAGATCCCCATCTCTACATAGTCCGCCAACATGAAAGAGCAGGAATCAGAGCGTTCCCCTTCAAAGCAGTTGTCCGAACACCTGGTGAACTCGATTAGGTTTTCGACACTGATCGAGGTGATCTTAACTCTGTCTTCGAGTTGCGACCTGCTCAACAGAAGACTGGACATAAATAACGGGCTAAGTTCCAAAAAAACAATAATTTAATCAGACCCGAAAAAGCAAGCTGAGTGCCATTACCAACAACCTAAAAAGCGGGCTAAA